CAGTGGAAAAACAAATGGTTTTTCCACTAGGAGCTGGAGCTGCAGTCTGCTTAATCACTAAAGAGCTTGGAATCGCTTTAGTTTAAAATACCTTTCCGCTGTGGTTTGGAAATCAAAAAAAAAGAGATGTATTTGGGTCATGTTAACCTCGTGTATACAGCTTGGGCTGAGTGAGAACTTCAGTTTACCTCGTCTGCATCTGCTGTGCCCCATAAATATCTGTGTATTTGTTCCTGTTTGATTTTGTCTGCCTGAAGGCAAAGCTACCGAAACACAGATTTGAAATGGGGTCCTGGGAGCTGCTCACCAGGCACAGGAGAGTGAGGAGCCAAGCTGCTGTCTGCCACCAGTTGCCCCTTTCTGGCCAAGGATGCAGGAGGATGTGGCTGGTGCCTTCAGAAAGCTGTGTGGATGGACTTCCCATCACATTACTCCTAACGGAGGCTGCCCAAAATACCAGCCTCAGTTACTAGGAGGTCACTTGAGGGTTTTGACAGCCAGATGTGGGGGTGAGTTTTTCATGTACAGTGTGTGGCTGCATCCCACCAGCGGTCCTGGCTCGGCAGGGTGGATGTGGTGGCACATTTCTCTTAGCAGAGCTGCTCCTTGTCCTGCTTCAGGGTTTACACAAATACTGAGACAAGCCTGCAGAGGAGCCACAGTGATGTGAAGAAATGCTCCTCGCATTACCCATGTGTTACTGGTTCCCATCCTCTTGCGCAGTGCAGCAAACTCAGCTGGTCTCTGCTGGTCCAGTGTTAGGTCCCAGAGATGACTGCTCTTGTGTGAAGGCTGCCTTCCTGCCAGGATTGCGTTAGCATTCCATGAAAGGCAAGCGAGTGCTGCGCCTGGGAAGAGCGAGCTAATTTTTCCGAGTGGCAAAACTTTGCGAATGACAACTGTGACTTGTTCCCGGGCTGTGGTGTGAAATCTGGGGGATGGCTGTGAGCAGCAACTGCCAGAGGGAGCAGAGCTGAGCTCTCGGGTTCCTGGCTAGTGTAGTTTTGGGGTCCTCCTCTCCCTCCTCCTGCTCGCAGCTGTTGAAGGTCTCTTGGTGTAGGAATGGAAGGAGTTACACCTGGATTTTGCTTGTGTCTGGGGTTAATACTTCCACCTGAGTTCTGCCTGTCTCCAAACTTTGGGTGTAACCAGCTTGAACGTTGGCTTTACCTTTAAGAATGGTTTGCTGGAGGACTGGAGACTAGGGGTCTCCACAGCTGGTCTAGTGGTGGGTTGGAGCTGCAGAACAGGCTAGTAGTTTCTCATCATGGGTGGCTTGTGGGCATCTGGGTTAAAAATGCCCAGCTGAAAGATTCTGGCTGCTCCTACAGAACTGGGAGAGTTTGCAAAGCTCCTTTAGTTGAGTAAGTTTAGAGATGAAAGACTTCTTACCTTGGTTAAAGATACTTCTGTTGAGTTCTTAATGGTCTTAATACCAAAGTCTCCTGCACTGGAGCCTCCTGCTAAAGGCTTGACCCTTTGTAACTGTTTCAGAGCCCAGGGATCTGTGCTTCTCTCAGCCTGGAAGGCTTATCAGCTCCGAAGAGGAAAGTGTTACCAGCTGGTGGGTTTGGAAGTGCCACTGGTGTGGAGCTCACAAAATCCCAGAAGACATTTCTAGGGTCTGTTTTAATTTAAATCAGAGTCACAATGTCCTGTGGCACTAATGCAGGGAAGGTCCTTGTTCCAGTGTTTTGTCCCCATTTGTCCCGATTGATGGGTAAGTGGCATTAGAAGAAAGATGTGCTCATTGTGCCATGTGTGCCTGTGAACGTTCATTGCACCTTCCTGTGCTCTTTCTGGGGCAGATATGAAAACTCAGCTCCTTTTGCAACCTGGATCAAAGAGACATCCACTGGGAAGCATCTATGGTGAAAGTAGGGAAGACTGTTCTGGGGCAGGGAGGAGACTATGTCGTTCCTGGGACAAAGCTAGGCTCCGATGGGGCATAATTAGTCTGTAGTTACAAAGATGGTATTTAATTATTTCTTTTCCATGGTTTTTAAGCCCTGGCACTGTCACTTTGCTGGCAGCAAATCAAACACCAAGTTAGCTTATGTTAAGGAACAGAAGATGAAGTCCTAGATAAGCACTCAGCTGTGGGAACATCTTAAATTGAAACGTGCAGGGGGGACATGGAGGAGTATGTTTTTGCTCTCGGTGCTGTCCAGACCCCATGTCTGCAGCTAGGGCTGTGTTTCTCGCTGCTGCAGCACTGGTATCACCTCTGCCATGTTCTTCTGGGATGCGAGATGAATGGAGAGGAGGGTACGGTGGGTGACAGCTTCTATAGGGTGTCCTTCTCTAGGGTGATCTGTAGCATCCTAGTGACTGCAGCATCAGAGTTTTGTGTGGACCAGGGGCGAGTGTTTTGATGGATGATGGAGTAACCACACCATAACCTACCTGATAACCAGCACTCTTCTCTGGGACAGCAGTGCCCATCACTGCTGAGCTGGCGTGCTCAGTGCCCATGGGTGCTGGAGTGCAGATTTGGCTGCAGAGCAGGGCGCAGCGTGGTAGCTGCAGGCTGACCTCCCATTAATGTAAATATTCCCAAACAACGTGTCTGTTCTCACCAGCTTCTCTTTCTCCCTCTCTCATCATGTTTAATTTCTGACTAAGCTTTTGATAAATGTTTTGTATAGAGCTCCTAGTTTATCTTGAATAGACCTGCTGCCATCATGGCTAAAATCTAAACCAACACTTGACTTAGGGCTCAAGTGCCAGATGAACTTGGCAGTTGCTGACACACTGAACAGTCCTGTTTGGTGTGCAGACCCTGGGCATGAATTGCGAGGACAGGCTCTCACAGCAGATGTGGGAGCACAGATTCTAGGGTGCCTTAAGAGCAGCCCGGGAAGTATCCAGACAAATTTCCTCTCTTGGGGGGCTCTATTTTCAGACTTAGACCTGTCCAAAACAGGTCGTTTGGTATAATGAGTTCCTCCAGCCATACACCAGTTAGCCCCAAGTGGGATCTGGCCCATGATCCTGAAAAAGTTTCAAGGCAGTGTTTATAGCTAGTAATTTGTCTTAGAGAGTTTTATATGTATATATGTGCGTATGTGCCTATGGGTGTACGTATGCATATATACATACATTCTTGCTCAGGAATGTGGTTTTGAATCCTTTCAACTTGTTCAAAAAGTAAACTGGGGAGAAGCTGGCAGTGAGTCGGAGCCGCTTGCCAAGCATTGCAGACCAGAGAAGTGGTAAAACATAAACACTTTGGAGTTTATCCTCAGGATTTATATAGTTTGGCTGCCGGGGCATGGACTCTGGGTGGAGGGGGTGCTTGTCAGCCCCTGGTTGTGCTGCTCTTACGGAGCTGAGTCCAGCATCTCCGTAGCTGCACTTCCACTCTCGGCAGCGTGTGAGCGAGAGGGTAACACAGGGTTGTCCATCCCTCCCCTCCTGCTCCACCAGCTGTATGGGGTGGGTTTCGGACGATGACAGCAGAACAGGTCTGCTTTCCCCCTCCCCTGCACTAAAGTAAAAGCAGACCTCCTTGATGCTTAATCAGATTTGAATGTGGGTTTTGGCGTGGCTTTAAAGAGACTGGCAGTGAATAGCTGGTTTTGATGCCATTTATTAAAAACCTCTGGTAAAATTTGTCTTGGAAAGCCTTTGTGAGAGCTGGCAAATGCACAAGGGTTTGATGCAGTTAATGTATTTTAATCTTCACACCCTCCCCTTCTCCTTTTCTTTTGCTAATTGTAGGGCTCTCAGCTGTCTGACGCCTTCTCCGGGGGGACGGCAGGCTCTGCAGGGACTTCTGTGCAAACATGGGCTTAATAAGGTTGCAGTGGCAGGGAAAAGTGAGCATTCTCTTTGGGGAGGAAGGCTGGGAATGGGCAGAGTGGAGTGCCAGGACATGGGTACCATGCCAGGCTCTGACATGGGGGCATAGGGTGGCCTCGACCAGGAGGTTAATTAACCTCCTGGTGCAACCTTGTTCTCCTCCAAGGAATGAGACAGATGAAGGGGGAAACAAAAATGCCCCTTTTCCAGGTAGCTGGGCAAGTGCAAAGTGTTGGACCTCCTCAGCAGCTGGCTCCTGGGAAGGGTTCCCAAGGCTTTCAGATTGAGGTTGATAGACATGCAGTCTCTTCGCATTGACCTTATCCCTTGCTTACTTGGTGCATTTACCTTCCTTGGACCCAGAGGACCTTACAAGCCTGTTTAATGCTCCTCACCCATGTTTGGGATGCGTTGGGACTTTCTCGTGGCTTAGGCCCAAAGGTGCTGCACCCATGCACAGCACAGTGGGTGCTGTTGGGAGGACCATAACGTTTGTGTGAGAGACTTGGGCTGTCCCTGCAGCCCAATGCATGGATCATGCCGACAAGCAGCTGGCTCCCTGGCAGCAGTATTTCGGGAAAAGCTCCCAGGGAAGCAGCAAGTATTGTGGAGCTCAAGGAACAAACAGTTTCCCCCACAGCCCATAGTTCGGGCTGCACATTGCTCCTGTTTCTGCTGTGTAGAAGAGCTCAGAGCTGTGGCCATGCCCTGGAGCACTACACTTGGTTGAGGGACCGAAGCTGGAGTTGGGTTGCATTTAATTTGTGGGTTTTTTTGTCTGCTTCATCAAAGGAAAGAAACCTGGCCTTTTTCTGCCAGCCCTCACTCACGTGAGTTGCAAATTGAGTGAGAGGGAGGCGTGGATGAAGATGACTCCCAGGAGAGAAACAGTCTGAGAGACTCTTAAACAAATGGGAACTGAGCAGCTTTGCTCTTCCCCTGGGGGTTTGGCTGTTAAATAAACTCACCGATGAGTCTGGCTGCGTCCATGTGTTGGTGCAGAAGTGTGTTCATATGCAGGCTGGGTGTTGCTGGGTGTAAGCCACTGGGATGGCATGTGTTGGGTAGTGTGCTCCTTGACATAGCGATGCACAAGCAGACTTGACTGGCCTTGATCTCCTTCCAGAGTTTGCATGGGTGGTCATGCTTGGAGGGCAGCTAACATGGCCTTTCCCTCTTCTCCTTTCCCTCTCCAGGGTTCCACCTCAGCGGGACAGTAACAGAGCCAGCGACTGCAACAGAACCAGAGATGACCTACAAGGTGGCCATCAGCTTTGACCGCTGCAAAATAACCTCAGTGACATGCGGCTGCGGGAACAAGGACATTTTTTACTGTGCCCACGTCGTGGCACTTTCACTGTACAGGATCCGCAAGCCGGACCAGGTCAAACTCCGTCTTCCCATCTCAGAGACCCTTTTCCAGATGAACAGGGACCAGCTGCAGAAGTTTGTTCAGTATTTGATCACGGCACATCACACCGAGGTGCTGCCCACTGCCCAGAAGTTGGCTGATGAGATCCTGTCGTCCAACTCAGAGATCAACCAAGTGCATGGTAATTCCTCCCTCCTCCTCCTTGGGTGGCTCAGCACTGGTTCACTCTGGGGCTGGGGCTGGGGTGGTGGTTTCACACTGACAGTGGTGACCTTCATTTTGCCATGTTTGTCTGTTGCTACACAGAGGTGGCAGCGTCAAACTGATGTTAATGTATGGGTGCTGGGACCACACTGGTGTTGGCCATGCATCTCCATTCTTCCCTCTGTTCTTTGTGTTTGTTTGTCAAACACCAGCTTCAACAAGCAAGAAAAGGCAGAGCAGACAGGCTGGTGGTGCACAAGACAGCTCAGGGTAGGATGGAGAAGCCAAGGGTGGAGGAAGGAGGCACATTTAGTCCCCAAGACAGAAGGATGTGGTGCTGGAGGTGCAGTGGGGATGTGGCTCCTCCAGCGTGCAGGGACACGATGTCAGCCCAGCCCTGCATGTGTCTAAGTCAGATGGGGCTGAGCTGGTGGGAGATAAAGCTTTTAAGCTACATGGGCGTTAATTTGTCTGTAATAAATGAGCCCCACTGTGCTGACCTACTGTACAAAGGCAGCAGAGATGTGTCCTGGGGCTTTCTGTTTGGAAGGTGCTTTTGACTTCTTCCCCTGGAAAGCACTGGCTGGGGAATGGTGCCCATCCCAGCCCTGCTTTAGTTGCCCAGTGACCCCTGCAGGTGTCCCAGGCTCCCTGGGGCTTCCTTCATCAGCCCAAACTGGGCACTCTGGCTTTGTCTTTCAAGGAGCCCAGGAGCTGAGGTTGCCCAGGGTCTGCAACAATGAGCTGCTCCCCGCCATGCCTGTCCCACCAGCTGAGGAATGGAGATAATAAACACTTATCTGCCAAGGAAGGGCGTTGTGGGGATTAACACATGCCTCTTAAGTGCTCTGAAGATGAAAAGTCCCATATGCAGCCTAAAATAGCATCTGAACTGGTTGAATCCACATGTAGAGGTGAGGCCAGGGGTTCACCTCCACCACAGGGGCGATGGCAGCTCTGATCTTAGATATCTTCCCCTCCCTCTATCTGCTCCTACCTTGGGAGAGGCTTTTGTCTCCTCCACTGGCCCACATCTGCTGCGTGTGTGGTTGTGCTCTAAATTACTGGCTTTTGGGGGCTGTTCCTCATTTTTTATCATTAAGAAAGAATGAGGAGCTGTGGCACTGCGAGAATCTGGTGAGGTCTGTTCCCTCCCTGAGCTTATCCACTGAAGCTGAGGTTGGGCAAGATCCCTTCTTGGCCATTGTTTGAGGCTGCTTTCTCCTAAGCAGATTGAAAAAGAGCTTTTAAGGCTCTGAATATTTATTGCTCTGGAGTCAGCAAAAGGCTGGCGATTGCGTCTTAGAAAGATACAGATGTTGGCTCCGGTTCAATATCTGCCTCTTGTTTTTACAAGTGGTTTTAAAAAACAAGCAAAAATTCTCTGTCCCGTCAGACTTGTGCAAATTCACACACTCCAGCGTGTGACTTTGAGACTACAGAGGTGCTGTTGACTTACCCAGCAGAAGGCAGCACCTATAGCACACCCGTGTGACAGCCTGGCTGGGGGCACAAGCGAGTAAATGCCTCTGCAAGCAAGATAACAGCCTTGTCTCATCCTGAGGGAGGATGCAGATCAGCTTTAGGATGACGCAATGATCTTCGGATGATCTTAAGATGGTCTAAAAATCATAGATGTTGCACCCTGTGAAAAAGGAAGGCTTAAAAAACCATCACATTCAGGTTCAGAGTGATGTTGTGCAGGACTTTGGCTCTTGATCCTGGACAGTGTTTCAAGCTTTGCCCTCCTTGTCCTGCCAGTGAAGCACAGCTGCAGTGCAACTGCATCACAGAGATACTTGAGCAACGAGCCCAGGGTGAGGGAGGGCTGGAAGTGTGGGGAGCTGCATATATGAGAGCAATTTTGGGGCTCCTGTTGAAGGGGATCCAGGTTCTTCCCCTATGTTGCCCTTCCCGTTTTTGGTTCATGCAGGATTGCTAATCCTGGGATTTGAAATTCTTCAGGGTACGCATTACATGTTGCTTTATGGGTTTATGTGTGCTTTTCTTGTCTGTGTCTAGTTCAGACCCTTGGGGTCACACCTTTGTTCACCTCAGGGTTAAGGTCAAAGTGGATTTTGGCTGGCCAACCTCTGCAGCCCAAACAGTAACCTGGTGTGTACATTGGACACCTGAGGTTATTTACCCCTTGGAGCAAGAACAGCTTCTCCAGAAATCCTTTCTTTTTTCCCCCTGTTTCTTCTCAGGAGAGGTTTGTTGAGCTTCGGATCAGCATTGAGTTTTCCCCACCTGCCTTTAGTCACCCAAAGGGCTGCTCCTTCCGTGCTGGCAGTGAGCACGTGTGACAAAGGAGCTGATTCTGCACCTCGGGAGCGCTCCAGGCTGGCTGGGGAATGCCCCTTGTGCAAGGAGATTGTCTGGTTTTGTAAAATAAGGCTTTTCAGGGCTGCTCCTTCTCCCCCTGCAGAGCCTGAACGGCAAAGAAAATTACAGGCCATTGTCTGGCACGCTGGTCTCTGGGCTTCAGAGCTTTGTTACTTGCAGGAGTCTGTAGCCGCGGGCTGTGTGCCGCATGCCGATCTTCCCGGCTGCCTTCCTAGAAGGAAATGCAAACTATCCAGTAATGATGGAGCCCTGGAGCGCAGCCAAGGCACTCGCGTGTTCTCGAAGGATTCAATCCGAGCGGAGCGCTCTAGGTGTGCCTGCCGCTCTGCTCCCCACTTGACCTCTGCCTGCTTAAGTGGGTCACATTTCTGCTCTCGTAGCTGGCTGCAAAGGGCAGCGTGCTCTCAGCAAGAGCGTCTCACGTGTCTGACATGTCCACGTCTGAAGTGGCAGCTGGAGTGAGGACACCACTGCTCTGTCCCCTCCCCGAGTGTGTTCCTGCTTGGGGGCAAAGTCAGTGGCACGACTCTGCGGCACGGAGCAAGGTTGTCGTTGCACCAGTGAATGTGACTTGCAGCTGCTTGGCCTTTCCTACTGGGGACCTGCAGCTAGAGAGCTTGGATCCAACAGCCAGACCTCCAATGGAGTGAGGAAAAAAAATGGTACCCGGCACCCCCCGCGCTTCCAAGAGCATCAGCCCAGGGTTCCCCTCGATTTTCCCTGGGGGCTGGGGTAAATGCAAGCAGAGAAAGTGGCTCCGGGTGACCGGCCATGGTGGGATGTGCTGGGCATAAGTGCAGCTTTGCCACTGTGGGGGGATCCGTGCTCTGCCACCATGAGACGTGGGGAGAGTGTCTCCTCCTCAGGTGTGAATGAGGAACAGAGAATGGTTGCTTTGGTGCAGTAAAGTATTGCAGAGGGCCAGGAGGTACTGGAGAAAGCAAGGTTGTGAAAAAGAGCTGGAATGGGAATTGTAGGCAGAGAGGGGGATTTGGGGGCCAAAAGCAAGCTGTGTGGAGGAGGGGGAACTCAGAAGTACCAGTGAGTCCTGATAGCAGTGCTGGGTTTCCAGCTCTCACTGCATGTATCCAACACCCATTTGCAGTGAGTGCTCAGGGTCCAAGCAAAGCAGTGGACTTGGGAGGTGGCATTCATCTCCTCTTGTGTTGTGCTACATGCTTGTAGGGAATGATTTGAATTTATTTTAAGAGGAAGACAGGATCAGTGTGGGGCATACAGAAGGAAAGCTACTGTGTCAGAAACATCCTTTGAACCTGTGATTGGGATGTTTTGGGACTTTCAAGGCACATGTTAAGTTATTCCTGAGGGCAAAGGTAGTCTGTGGCCAAGGAAGGAGAGAAGGCTGATGGAAACCACTGCAGGGCCAGAGACAGTGGTCATTAAAATCTTTAATTAGAAGCTTAAAGACAGGAGCGGCAGCTCTGATGACTGATGGTGCCTGTGGGCCCAGAAGATTTGGGGCTTAGAGGTATCCTTTGCGTATCATCAGTGAAGTCTCTCCCTTCCTTTCATGGGTAAAGAACAGGAGGATTTGGCAGCCCTGGTGTTTGCAGCTTGGTAACTCGCCCTGCTTGAGCAGCATGGCAGGGAGAGCTGCTGCCCTCAGCCCAGGAGATGTGGTCAGGGCAGTCTGTCTGTCCCACAGAAATGCCAGTGGGTCACACAGTGTCTGTGGCACTCAGCTGATGCTATCAAAAGGCTTGGGATACTCTTCTCAGTCAAAAGTGGGAAGAGCCATGAAACCTCTGCTGTCTTGCAGTGCAAGGGCAGCTCCCCCCAAGGACAAGCCAGTGGAGAGTCAGTGTGAATCACCAAGGGGCCTCTGTGGTCCTGCAGGACCTTCCTTGGAGCTTCCTTTGAGGAGAGGACTCTTGGGGTGAATGGTTGCTCAGGATTTGTCATCGGAAAACAGATCTGCTTATGTAAAAGCCTGAGGAAGGCCTCTGCCTCATCTTCTCACTTTTATACCAGACATATTCTTGGCTACCTTCAGTTCCTGGGCTAATACTGTCTTTCACTTGTTGGTCCATCTTGCTCTTATGCACAGCAAGTCGGCCGCGTGGGAAGTCCCTGCCTGCTTGTCCTGTCACACTGAGCCAGGGCTAATGTTTGAGGAGGCCTCAGGCAGTCTTTAACTTTGAGATCATCCCACGACAGCATCTGGAGGGCAGCACCAGTAGATCTATTTGAAGTTCTGCCTTCCCACTGGGGACGAGGAGAAGATCATGTCTCCAGGGGATTCTTGTTCCTGGTTGCTGAGCTGATGTGAATTTAAGGGAAAATAACACACCTAAGTGCTGGAAAGAAAGTCTCAGTTGGCAGCTCTTCCCCCTTGTCTTGCAGAGCTACTGGGGTTGCTGAATGATCCCAGACCACATGTGTGCTGCTTGACAAGCTGGCTTCCAGCTTGACAAGCTGGACCCGACACCGGTATCAGCTGGACCAGAGAACTCCCGGCCATCATGCTGGGAGCTGGTCTGGCTTCACTTGCCCCATGGCTGTAATAAGGGTGTGAATCTTCAGGCTGCCCTGGAGGCTCCATCCAACCTGCCTCGCCTTGAAAACGAACCAGGAGCCTTGGCGGAGCTTGACTCCTGGCTTTGCTATTTTTAATCCCTTGTTGTTAGAGTTCATTTCCTTTCTGGTGCCTGGTTATTTTCTCTCTGAGGTTTTCTGCTGTTTGTTTATTTGCTCATGTCCTCCCCACCCCCTGCCCTGAGCTGTTCCCTCATGTCTGTTTTCTCTCTGGACGCCAGAGAGGCAGCCCGGAGGCATTCAGTGACACCAGCATCTGCAGTCATGAGATGGCCCTTATGAACTGCCACCATGATGGCCAGCCCTGGAACAGGCTCTGTGGCTCAACGAGCTGGCAGAGCCCTCTCCAGCACCAGCAACCGTGGGACCAGCATGGCCAGATCCTGAGCAACCAGTGTGTGCTGGGCACAGTCAGCCAGGATGACTGTGAGGGAAATGCCAAGGTGGCCACCTGCAGCCCTGGGTTGCTTTTACCATCAGCTCCAGGCACTAGATAAGTATCCCTTTTTCTTTGTGTCA